GTGTATAGAATTCCTAGGGAAGAGGTTAGAGAAAGAAATCATTAAATCAAGTGACACAACAGAAGCATGGTGATGATTGCTTTATAAAGCAGGAAGGCCATAAATAATGGAGGCTGTGAAGTATTCTGAAGAGAACACACCTAGGAAATGAATTCTGCCCTAAGACAAATCATTTTACATAATTTAACAAGTATTTATTAATGCTTACTACATGCTTATGTTTGTATTTAAGTCTGTGGGGAAGGCAAAGGACATACAAAAGTTTTCTTTCCCTTAATAGCATTTATGGTCTTGTTGGGGGAGCAACTGCAATTCAATCCAACCATTGTTTATTAAGCACCTACTGTGTGCTAAGATCTAGGGATACAAAGGCAATATCAAAATAGTCCCTGGCCTCAAGGAGCTGACATTCCGTGATGATACCTACATGGCAGTTCACTTTTCCAACTGTACAATGGGAAACCATAAAATGGGTTATGGATTAATCAGAGGCTGAATGGCAAGGATATTAACGGAAGTTAGTAAAAACATAAGTGGGGGCAATTGGTCGCAATAGTTTTAAGTTTCTCTATGTATTCCCATTTCTGGTAAATTAGGCATCTAGAACTACTGACTTTTTGAGCTAAAAAGGATTATGAGACATCCATATAGTTCAACCCCCTCATCTCATAGATAATGAAAATTCTTTGACTCAGTCTTATGGGAAGAGTTGGTATTAAAGGACCTGGGCGTGGGGGGAGGAGATAAGTTAGGGGCAGGTGCAAGTAAATAAAGATAAAATGAAAACAAAATAGCATGCAAGTGAAGGAGAAGACTAGAGGAGATATTTGCTAATTTAGTCGTGCTCCTCCATATGATAACAGCTATCATTTGCATAGCTTATGTTTTCCAAAGTATTTTACATAGTGTCCCAAAAGTCTTAGTGCATTATAAATTTAAACTGCACTAGGACTTTTGGAACACCCTGTATTTTATTTAATTTGATCCTTTCAACAATCCTGTGAGGTAGATGCAATTATCCCCATTTTGCAAATGAGGATGCTAAGAGTAAAAAGGGTTTATGTGCCCAGAGTCACATACCTATGTGGGATATTAAATAGGTTTTGAACTCAGGACTCCCAGTCAAACTATAGGCAACCTAACTAACAATGAAAAAAGTCATGGTGGGTGTAAGCAGGCTGTAGCATATAACCAACAAGTATTTGTATTTGAGAATCCAGGTAAAACACATCATTGATAACATGGGTGAAAGGAGGTGGACCAGTCATGTATAAAGACAACGGATGGACAGCATGAATGTTGCATCAATATTGATTGGAGACTCAGACTATTACCTCTAAGTGTATTGATAAATATTAGCCATTTTTCAAAACTGAAGTCACAATGGTCATTCCTAGAAATAGTAATAGATACTAATTTGTTGGATAAGAATTGAAAACAGATTATAACCAAAATAAAGCTTAAAATAATTTTTATTAATACTTTTATAGTTGAGTAAGTCAATTGAATAAATCAATCCAAAACCCCACTATACTTAGCACTGATACATTTATCAGTTGAGAAAACATCTCAACTGAATCAATTAAAGGCATAATCTAAAATATAAACAAAGCTCAGACATTTTTCATTGAATGAATTAATAATAACAATAATAATATCTAGCAGCTTTATAATATTTTACAAATATTATTTCATTTTATCCTCACAACAGCCCTGGGGAGTTGGTGCTATTCTTATCCTCATTTTACGGATAAAGAAATTAAGGTAGACAGAGGGTAGGTGACTTGCCTAGGGTCACACAGCTAGGAAGTGTTTCAGGGTGAATTTGAACTCAGGCCTTCTTGAGTTCAACACTATAACACTCTACCCACCATGCCACTAAGCTGACAGGAAATCTATTTAGATTGGTTGAGGTACTTGGTCATTTCTAGGATATATATAAAAAACCATCTACCTAGTTTGGAATCAGGAATTCCAGCATCTATCAGCTTAATGACGGAAGCCTTTTAGTCAAACCCTGAGAAACAATCATTTGTTGGGGAGGAGACAAGCCTGTATTCCAGCCTTGGCGACTGTATTGTTCTCAGTATTCGAACCCTCCCCCTTTGGCTAGAAGAGGACCTTTTGAGCCTTGAAGGATCCAAAGGATTTTGGATTTCTCATTGGCATTGTGGAGGAGTCCTCATGATAGTGAATGGCACTGCCTGCTTTGGGAGGTAAGGAGAGTCTGAACAAGAAGGGGAAGAGTTCTCCAAGGAGTGAGCACAAAAGCCATACCATGCTTAATGAGAACATCTGGTAGATTCCAACAAAAAGACTTCCATAAACTGGGTTATTCCTTTACCACAGGGAATCTCTAAACTTGAGGACCCTGTATGTACTTATGGGAAAATATGTCACAGACTTTTGAGGGATTGTTTTATAATAGTTTTAACAGCATAGTACCTTTCTAAAGGTTGTCTGATTACTTGATATCAAACAATAATCACAGGGGGAAGCATACTGATAGGGCCTTATGAACACCAGCAATAGAAAAGAAATCCCTAACTTTCCCAGGATTTATCCCCAGGGAACCCTCAAGAGACAAGTAGCAGCTGCCCTTTGGGGAGCCAGCCTGCCAGTGTGAGTGGGGTTTAGAACAGTCACTCCACAGCCTGCCTAGGATATAGTTTTCCTCCCTTAAATTAGTCCTCCCTACACAAAATGCCATATGCTACAGAAGTATGGTGGCAATAGCTTTTCTAGATATTGTCATAATTCTTTCTAAACTAATCACATAATCAACCAATCAGTATTGATTAAATACCTACTATGTGCTAGGAAAGGATGAAATGGTAGGAGGTCATTTTTTGGTAGATGGAATAAATGCTCATTAAGTAATGTTTTTTGTTAATTAGTAAAAGAAATGAGGTGATTAACACATGCATATTGAATTGGTTTCCATGATCAACTTCAATTATATTTTGAGGTTATTTCTCACCAAACTCAAAGGCTTGAGGATGAGTAACTAAATGAAAACCAAGTGAGTAGGATAAATTGGAATGAAAGTTCAATAAAAAGCTATTTTGAATAGCTTCTTTCATAAATGCTGTGATGTTTTATACAATAAAACATTTGCTAATGCCATTCTTGCTTGGCAAATGAAGTGGAGAAATGAGGTACTTTCCCAGGTAGTAGCTGCCTTCAGGTAATATAGACTGCCACATAGAAGAATTATTAGTAGACTTGTTTTGTTTGGCCCCAAGAAGACATGGGACATGGTACCACGTACATAATACATGAAAAGGCTCTAGATTGAAATGATGTGGATTCTATTCCTGGTTCTTCCACTTACCATTTGTGAGACCTTGGATGAGTTACTTAGCTTCCTCCGGGCCCTAGTCTTCTCATCTGTGAAATGGGGAAGGAGTGATTAAATGGCCTCTGAGGTTCCTTACAATTCTAAATTTCTATGATTTTATGATAATACAATCTCCAAACCATTCAGTCCATCAGAGCATTTATTAAGTTAAAGTTATTTAATTTAAAGTTTGCTAAGTTAAAACATTTATTAAGTATTCACTGTGTACCAGGCACTGTTCTAGGTGCTGGGGATATAGAGAAAGGTAGATGAGAGCCTCTGCTCTCGAGGAGCTCAAAGTCCAATGAGAGAGACAACATTGAAACAACTATTTGCAAACAAGCTACAAATAGAATAAATTGGAAATAATCAAAAGAAGAAGGGACTAGTATTAAGAGGGAATCAGGAAAGGCTTCTCATAGAAAGTTGGATTTTAACTGGGGACTGGAAGGAAACCAGGGAAGCCTGGATGCAAAGATGAAGAGAGTATTCCAGGCATGGGTAACAGTCAGTGAAAATGCCCAGCCTGGAGATGGTGTATCTTCTTCAAGGAACAGTAAAGAGGTCAGTGTCACTGGATTACAGAGTATTTGGGGGCAGGGGTGAGAATGGGGATGGGTGGGTGAAGTAAAACTGGAAAGGTGTGAAGGAGCTGGGTTAAGAAAGACTGAATGCCAAACAGGATTTTATATTAGATCCTAGGGGTGAGAAGAGCCACTGGAGTCTAATGAATGGTGAGGGGGAACCATTTACTTTCACTCTTTGATAGATTTATGACTTTATCTCTACCAAAGCAGACTGTGGCCCTTAAATGCCTTTCTTTGCTTTTGGGTCAAGTCCAAGCTTTCTTCTCAACTTCATCTTAATATCACTGCCAGTTCCTCAAATAGCACGTCAGAAAGTGATAAACCCATCGACTGGTTCCACCATTGTCACCAATGAAAAAAGAGCCAGTGTTTCTGTTCCATTTTGCATCTATGTTGTTCTCCTTCTACTTTCCTCTACATTTAAATATCATTGGGATGATCAGGCAGAGTTGGATTTCACACTAAGCCCTACTGAGCTAATGTATGTAAAGTTCCTTGAAAATATTAAAGCCAGTCATTATTTTTCTCAATTGATTTTTGTTGTTTTGTGATTGGACTTTAATCATCTACCATCTTTCTCAGTAATGTTTCGCAACTGAGTTTGTATCTATGGTGTTATATCCTTAACTGTGTTTCCCTTGGCTGTAATGTTTTTTCACTTGGCAAGATTAATTATTTGCAAGATTCAGTAGTTTCCTCTTTAGGATTCTTCCTTATGAGTACTACTTTGAATTGGTTAAATTTCCCAAAAATAGTTATGTTCCAAATCAATGCCTTACTTGTGTCTATTTCCATTTTTTATTTATATCCCTTTCTCCCTCCCTTTCTTCTGCCCTTCCTTCTCTCTTCCTTTCCTTTTTTCCTTCCTTCTTTTCTCCCTCCCTCCCTCCCTCCCTCCTCCTTCCCTTCCTTCCTTCCACATAAGCTACAATTATCTTCACAGTGATCTTGCTTTCATTTATTATGAATAGTGTAAGGCAAGATGATCAAGTGTTCCATGTAGACATATTTCTTGTTGTTTGTGAGTGATCCTTGTGATTTGGCTTCAAATTCTCTATGTTGTGTGGCTTGATTTAAACTGAGGATATCAACGTAGATATAGTTCAATCCATGAAAGTGGAGGTCGCAAGAGGGCAGAGCTCAGAATTCACCTAAAAAAAAGTAAAAATGTTGGGGGGAAAGGAATGCTGCCAGGAATCCCAAAGGAAAATTGGTTTGTTTGTTTGTTTGTTTGTTTGTTTTTCCAGGGACAAGTTTGTAGTCAATATAAGAAATGAACAAAGAAGAGCTCTGACAAAATGAAAAAAAAAAGTTATGTTCGAAAAAAAAAGAACAAAATGTTAGGGAAAAATATACCCAAATAATACCAACAGAAGCACTAAAAACAAAAATAGTATTTCCTTAAGATGCAAGAAAATGGCTAATATACACACCAGAGCATGACACAAAATTAGTAAAAATATAATGGACAAAATTGAGCAATTGAGTATAATTAAGTTAAACTATTTTTTAAAAAATCCTTTTTATTTAATGAGTATCCTAAGTATACTCATTGGTTTCTTTTTTCACTTAAAAAAAGTTTTATTAGTGCATTTTGCTTTGATATCACATTTATTTCTGAATATATCCTTCCCCTACTTAGTGAGCCTGACCCTGCAAGAAAGATTTAAGAAAAAAATATTTGATTGAAAACCAACCATCATATCAGCTGTTTCTGATAGCATATTTAACATTCTACAGCCATAATTCTTCATCACTTCAATTTTTTAAATTAAATTTTATTTTAAATAATAAGCATTTATTTTCTCTCCCTTCTCCCTTCACACCCACAGAAAGAGAAAAAGAAAAACAAAACCCTTATAACAAACATATGTAACAAACATGCATAACCAAACAAAACAAATTCCCATATTGTCCATGTCCAAAAAGTATGTCTCATTCTATATATTTAGTCCAGGGGTGGGGAACCTATGGCCTGGAGGCCACATATGGCCCTCTTGGTCTTCGGGTGCACCTTTCAACTGAGTCCAAGTTTTACAGAACAAAACCTTTTATTAAGGGGATTTATTCTGTGAAGTTTGGATTCAGTCAAAGGGCTGCACTTAAGAACTTAAAAGGCAACATGTGACCTCAGGTCACATGTTCCCCACCCCTGATTTGGTCCATCACCTCTCTGTCAGGAGGCAGATAAATGACTTCATCATTGATCCTCTAGAATCATAGTGGGTCAGAGCGTTCAACAGAGTGCTTGAGTCTTCCAAAGTTGTTTTTTTACAATGTTCTTGTTACAATTTAATTTTTTCTCTTGGTTCTGCTCACTTTACTCTCAACCAGTTCATTCTATTCTTGCCAGATTTCTCTAAAATTGTTCATTTCATCATTTCCTACAACCCCATAGTATTTCATTACATTCATATATGATACTTTCTTTAGCCATTCCAACAACTTTCATTTTCCCTCCTCACTGGAATTATTTCTCTTTGTGTGTTTGGAATTTTCTTCTTGAGAATTTCCTGTCTATGGTAGGAGCAAAATCTGCTGAGACTAGAAAGTCCCTGCCATGTAGGTTGGGCTAATGGTTTGGGGTTTTTTTTCCCATAAAAAGGAAATGAAACCATCCTTGAGACTTAATTGGTACAGAGGATTAAGACTTAAAACATTGACCTTCCATCCCAGTCTCCTAAAGCATAAAAAGTCCAGCTCAGAAGCAGTAAGTGTCCCTCAGTCTTGAGAAATTCTTTGTTGTTGTGAGTCAACTATCTTCCTATGGAAACAAGGGGGCCTGCCTGCATTTATCTGAATCAACACTCTTTCCTGAAAATCTTTTCCATGCTACGGTTAAGTAAAGTCCTTTTGGTAAATGTTATATGGTGTACCAGAGTCTCATTTTGTTCTAATCTTGAGACTGAACCACCAGACCAGCCTAAGTTAGGCCTGGCTCAGAATGCCATAACTCTAGGGCTCATTTCTCCTGTAGAATTTTATTCCATAGGATCCAACATGGCTTTCCTCTCAAACCTTTGAAACTGGCTCTCTCAAATTGTAAGATAAATGTCAGACTATGCTGGGCTTTTCTCTTCTTCTCTATCACAAGCTCTAGCAGGAAGGGGCTAGTTCTCCCCAAAAGTTCCTTTTTTTTTTTTTGCCTGCAAATTCTTCTATAAATTCAGATCAGGAATAGGACTTCCCTTCTCACTAGTTCCTCTACTTTTTAAGGAATGATATTTTCATAAAGAAGGTCAGGAAATGATTGACTAGTCTGCTTTTTGGCAGAAAGAGTTCCAGCAGATGTCTTGATAATTGAAGTTGCCCATAAATTCTATACCTATTGCCTTTATGCCAGGGATGGAATCTGCTCTTGAATTCCCTCTATTTCCTCATTCTTTCTACAAGTTCCATACTGTACTCTGACAAGATGGCTTCAGTTTCTCTTTCAATTCATCTTCACCCAAATGTTCTTCCCCATGCTTCCCAATTTTGGTTCCTGGATTTTCCCAAATGCCTGCACTGTTTTAATATACAAAATTAGCCCATACTATCCCCATGTCCCATGTTCCCCTCTTCTGTTTCTCCTTCCTAACAGATTTTATTTTAAAGCCTTTTGATTAGATTTGCAAGATACTAAGTAAAAGCATTTTTTTAAACCAAACTTTGGTATTTTAAGCCATGGTCCAAAAATCCTGATATCTAGATATAACCTTGATACCACCTTCTTAAATAACTGTTTACTTCTCAGATCAGTTTTCTTTTTCTTCTATATGCTTTGCCTTCCATAAACATCAGTGAAGAAAAAACAAATCCTTTGTTTTGTGAAGTTTGGATTCAGTCAAAGGGCTGCACTTAAGGACCTAGAGGGCCACATGAGGCCTAGAGGCATCAGGTTCCCCACCCCTGGTCTAGGGGATATGATCAGGTTCCTTCTAATTTCCTATGCTTATTGGGGGAAAGGGTGATCCAACATTTATATCCAAGGTTTGACTACTTTCCCACCAAATATCACAACAAACACACAGAGCAAAAAGCAAAGAAACATTTATCCAAATCATAACAAAACAAAAAATCAGAGAAGGTATATTCAGGAGAATATACGCCAGACAATACAAAATGAAGGAGCTCTCCCATTGGGAGTGAGATGACTCACTTCAACCAAGAGACAGTGTCTTGGCTCAAGATGAAACTCCTCAAAGTCTCTACTGTAGCTATTTGGGATAGCGACATGATGAAGACTGCTAGCTCTTCTCATCTCTTCTCAGGGTCTTTTCCTTCAGCAACCTGAAGTAGGATTGGTTTCTTCTGTCTTCCCTCTAGAAGCCAAAAGCACCTGAATTGACTCAATGCTTGAAGAGTACCAAAGACTACTTGAAGCTTTAAAAGTCCCAAAGAGGACTTGTGCTTGAAGATTCCCAAAGAGGATGTCAGTAAAGGCTGGAGCTCTTCTACTCTCCACAACTCTACCCCACCCTCACATAGGGCCAGGGCATTATCTCCACCAATAAGAAGAGAGGCCCATACTAATGGGCTTTGGGACAGGGTTACAAATACAATGAGATTAGAGGAGCATTATCAACTGGAAGAATAAGGAAAAGACTTGAAGAGGGTATTGGTTGAGGTGAACTCTAAAGGAAATGAAAGATTCTAAGAAATGGAGTCTATATGTGTGATTTCATTAGTATACGCAATTTCTATATAAAGAAACTCTACCAACGCAGATCTGCACCTTCAATGCAGCTTATTGTCTTAAAGTGTCTAGAATACTGAGAGTTAAAGTGACTTGCTCAGGGTCACTCAGCCAGTATATCTCAAAGGTGGGACTTGAAGGTAGGTCTTCCTTGTTTCATGGACAGCTTTCTATCCACTCTGGCACACTGCCTCCCTATATGTTTTAAAGAAACTAACATTTATAAGAGGTGGTAATGAGAAGGAAGCATATTCTTGTCACGGAGACAGATTGTACAAATGAATAGACTGGAAGGGAAATGCAGGACGTAAGCAATATTAATAGTTAGCATTTACACAGCCCCTTAAGGTTTACAAAGTGCTTTATAAATATTACCATATTTAATTCTTTCAACAACCCTGGGAGGTAGGTGCTATTATTTCACAGTTGAGAGAACTGAAGCAAATAGAGGTGAAGTGACTGCCAATGGCCACATAATTGGAAAGTATCTGAAGCCATGGCAGGTCTTCCTGAGTCAGTATGTAAACTAATACACAAAAATCTGGAAAGGTAGTTTAGAGACACTTTAGGAAGGACTTGAAATATCAAGTAGAAGGATTTAAATTTCATACTAGAGGTAATAGGGAGTCACTTAAATTTCTTGTGCAGGAAGGTGCCATGGTCATATTGTGCTTTAGGAATATCACATTGGCAGATGGATGGATGGTTGATTACAGAAGGGAAATTAATAAGATGTCTATTGCAATAGTCCGGTCAGAGGTGATGAGGGAATGAACTATGTGAGTAGAGAGGAACAAAAGAATATAAGAACTATTTTGGAGGTAGAATCACCAAAATGACATGGCGACTGATTGGATAAATGAGTTGAGGGTAAATGGGGTGTCGGGAATGACTCCAGAATTGCAAACCTGAGTGACTAGATAGATGGTGTTATCTGTGACAGAAATATGAAAGTTAGGAAGAAAAGTTTAGGTGGTAAAGACCACGTGACTTCTGTGTTTGGACATAATTTTGAAATGCCCATGAGACATTTAAGTAGAGATGTCCAATAGGTAGCTGGCAACATATTGCATGTTTAAGTTGATAGTTATCAAATTATCAGCTGTCTAGGAAAAAATTGTACATAACACATTTTTAAGATTAATCTGCATTATTAAGATTTTCTCCATCACTTTCTTAAGCCTGGACAATCAACAAAACAACATATCAAATCCTGATTTGTTATCATTTGCTGATTTCCAATCTATAAATAATCACATTGAAAATTTCACAATTGTTTCTCCTGAGCAGCTGGCTCCAGGATACTCTCACTCTATCTGTCTCTCTCTCTCTCTCTGTCTGTGTCTACTGTAGCTTCTTCTGAGCGGCTATCAGGCATCATGAGGCCTTACTGGAATTGGCTATCTAATACAGAACTCACTTTTCCCCAAACTCACCTTTCTCCCTCCTCAGCTTCCTGTGAGAGTTTGGATACGGAGGTTGGGAACTTCTGTGTCCTATCAGTGGGCTCCAAATGCACTTAGGAAGTGACCCCTGGCAATGACTCTAGCAATTACTGGAGATGACCACTGGCTGTTAGAGGATGAGGCCAAGCCTAGCTCTGGTTTGCTAGAAGGCATGGTTGTGGAGGGAAATATTTGGACAGTTAAATGCCTATTCAACAGTCTTGCAAACTGTTTCATGGATATAGTCTTTGCAATGGGCAGTAAGAAGGAAAATGGAATGTCCTGTGTGAAGAAGATAAAGAAGGACAGTTTGCCCATATGATAGAGAACAAAAAATAAAAATGTTCATTCAGAAAAGGACACCAAAACCAATAAAATGATTGTTCCTCTTTTTATTGTTAATGTACACATTTTTGCTAAAAAAAATTTGTAAATAGGGAAAGTTTATGATTTGTTGAATCTTTAAAGTTCTTATTTCTATATTTGAGTGTTTATTTTTGGTGATGGTTACCGATATGGTTCAATTCTTCTAGTGTGTCACCACATTAGTCACTGGACGATAATCTCATGTTAAAAATACCAACAGTCAAGTTGTTTGTAGATGGCTTAAGAAAGATATGTTTTTTATCTTCCTCTGTGCCAAACTAGTCAGCCTTCATTCCTTTCTTGGCTTTACTTCAGTTTTTTTGGACATTTTAACAGCATGATAACAACTACCTTAGCACTTGGAGCTTTCTTTCCTTATAACATCTATCATTCCCTTTTCAAACTTCTCTTCCAGTAACATTCCCTTTCCTTCTCTTCTCCCCCCCCTTTCCTATTTTTGAGTTCCTCCTGGGACCACCATTTTGAGGAAGAGCCCTGGCTAGGCATCCTTCATTCCGTTTCAGGCCTTACTTCTTTCTGGACTTCCATACCATGCCCTTCATGTGTCCTCCATCCCTCTCCAGGCACCACTATTACTATCGAAGTGGGAGGGAAATACAGGTTTGGAAGTCATTTAAAACTTTTGTCATTTTCATTGCTCACTGTGGGTATATATATACACACACACATATATATGTACATTTGCATACATGAATGTATGTATATGTATATATGTATGTACAAATAAGTATATTTTTAGTGATAATCACTAAATATATACATGTGTGTATATATGTATACATACATATGTAATATAACTGCAGCTGTAGAATTTGTCAGAGCTTGGGCTCTGCTGGTAGAGCATTAAACAGGCATTAAGATGGTATTAAAGTGACTGCAGTGTTATCTCAGTATCGGTCCCAAAAGAGTGCTTCTCTTTCCTGGAAACCGTGTAGGTTAAATGTTATTATTCTTGTCTTACTAATGAAGAAACTGAGGATCAGAGTATAGGTGACATACCTGATCACACAGTTAAGAAGTTGAAGAGTCAGGACTTAAGCCCTAATTTTCTGATTTAGTCCAATATCCCATGACAATATTGCTATATGACCATTATTTATCCCTTTCCAGTTACTACCTATCAAAGTTCTATTCATCCCTTCAACCTGAACTCAAATCCTACTTCTTGTATAATAAAGTCTTCCACAATCACAATGGTAGTAGGACCCTGGCTCTTCTCCCTTCTAAACTCTTACAGAATTCGACATTTACCCCTCTTACAGGACACTTATCTTGATTAAAGCTGCTAAATAACAAAGTAGATACAGTTCAGACTCAAAGTCAAGAAGACCCGAGTTCCAATCTGGCACTTATTAGCTGTGTGATCCTGGGCAAGTCACTTAACTTTTGTCTGCCTCAGTTTCCTCTTGTGCAAAATTGCGATAAAGGTACAGCCTACCTCCAGGTTTGTTGTGGAGGATGAAAAGGGACAGGTACAAACCTTAAAATGCTAACTAAATACTAGCCATTGTTATCGTTACTATGATATCTTAGATTGTACTTATTTGGGAACAGCTTAGCTAACTTGACTGTAAACACCTGGTGGGCAGGTAATAACTCTTTGCATCTCTTCCCCCTCCTCTTCCCCTCCCTCCTCCCAAGGCATGAATGCTTCACAGGTGTTCAGAAAGCAACTCTTGAATGAATCAATAGCCAGATTTGCTCAAGGGTAAATAGGCCTGGGGGGGGGGAATCTATTTATCTAAATTTATCAAGGCTGTGTATAAATCCCTCCACTATCTACACTAAGGAACCTCAGGTCAGGTATCTGTTTCAATTCATGCTCCTGAGCTCCATTTCCATTGAAACCCTCCAAACAAGATGAAAAACAACCTATGACATCATAGTGGTACAGGAAGCCAAAACAAAAGGTAAAGTGAACAACAAAGTGCTAGGTCAAGCAGTAAATATCCATGCACACCACCACACACTTCTCAAACCTAGAAGCAACTGCAAGCAGTCTTACTTGTCTTCTTCATTCCCCGAAGTTGTGGCTCAGTAATAGTCTATGGATGGTAAAGGGGTCTTAACAACATGCATATTGGATGAACCCTGAAATCCCAGTGTCTGCAACATAAGGCTTTGCATTCCAGTGCTGCAGCCTTAATTGCCTGGAAGGTACGTTTGCTGAAGCATTACACACATCTTGCTGTTTCCTCTCAGGAATGGAGGAGAAATTTCTCCTGCTACTGTTTCCACCACAACATAGGGAAACTCTGAGACATATGTGGCCGAACCTCAGTTTCCCTGTGGAGACTAGGTGATTTCTAAAGTCCCTTCTAGCCCTAAATTTATGATCCAATTTTATTAACATGTAATTTCATATACAATATTTTAGGATGAAAATGCTTCTCCTTACACTTTTCTCAAAGGACTCCCATTTCTCGTACATGAAAAGGTTTGGAAAATGTTGACCTAGTTAAAAACAAGCAAAAAATCCCTCCAAAACTTTGCAGGGATATTTCTATCCAAATTGCTGGTACTAGTAATCCTTTGAACCTCTTCTTTGGCAAGCATTGATGACAAAACTAGGTCTCCTCTCCAAGTTAACCTTTTTTCACACTCATCAGCATTTAAGGAATCTAGATAGAGACAGAAGGGGGACTATTAAGTCCATCTCCCTTATTTTGCTGAGGGAATGAAGCCTGAGAATGTTTAGTTGAATTGCACCGGGAGAGCCCAGGTCAGCCGTCTTTGGTTAGCTCACAAGACTGATGGCCTACTCCAATCTACCACCTTTTCTTACACTCTCAACTATATCTTTACGCTTAAAAATATGAAACAAAAATATTTTTGACTAATTCAAAATAACCCCTCTTTAGTGTGCTTTAAACCTCCATCTCCAACCACTGTCTATCTTAACTGTGCCCCTTATCCACTTTTTTGTCGAATTCATTTCCATAAAAAGGTAGGACAGGAAGTTCTTCTAGATTCTGAGTTCCCTGAGAGCAAGAGACTGGTTTTTTGACCTTCTTTGCGTCCTCAGTACTCCCAGCACGTAGGTAAGCACTTAATAAATGCTAATTGACTGACTTCAGCTCCCTAGTTAGACCTCTAAGGAAACTATTGGAGGATACATATATTTCATTGACTCTTAAAAGGCGAAAAGGGACCTTAAAAATGTATCTCTTTCAGGAATGGAAACTGTGGCACTAAGCTGTTACTAAGCACTCTGAAGTGAAGTCCAGAAAAGACAGAAGAACGTAGGTCTTTTGATTCCTGGGCTTAGTGTTCTTTTGACACCACCAAAAGGTGCTTCCAAAAGTGTGTGTGGATTTCCCCATAGAACATACCCTTCAGTTGGGTGCTTTTGGGCAAACAGAACAAAAAATTTTGGAGCAATGCTGGGGTCCTTTTTAGATCTGTTGGGAAATCACGTCTCAGAATTCTTTCATTTTACAAAGGAGGAAATTGACACTTTGGGGAGTTAGGCGACTCGCTCAAGGTCACACAGCCGGTAAGCAACAGGGCCAAGAATTCAAAACCCAGAGTCCTTGGGACACCGACTCCAATACTTTTCACTGTGCCGTCCTGCAGATACGGGGTTGGAAGAAAAGGCCCCTTTTCTTCTACCCCAACTTGGGGTGCGAATCACCCCTGGATCATGCGTCCCTGGATGATAATAGCTTCTCTACGGTCGCAGTAGAAAGCGAGAGAGAGGTCTGCCCTGGAAGAGCCCATCCCGGGCAAGACCTCACCGCTGGCTCCTCCACAACTTTTAAGTGAAGCGCGTGGGAGAGAAAGGGAGTGGAGTACATAGTCTCGAGGGCCCCACGAGGTCCCGTCGAACTGACACCCAAACCTCTCCATTGCCAGTCTGGGACTGGGGAAATCCTCCGAGGGTGCGGGCAAAAGCAAGGGCTTTCCCATCTACCCAGTCAGGATAGGACAGTCCCGTGTGACGTCTGCCTCTGCCAGCCAATCAAGTCTCAGCCCGACGGACTTGCCCTTCAGCGTACTTTAATTTTCAGAAATAAACAGTAATTAGCTTTTCGAGTTAAGCTTGGTATTCGTGTTGAACTCACGACTCTTGTGAAATGAATTAGTGTAAAAAAAGATCAGAAATCAACTAGTTAGTAAAATGGAAATTGTATTGGACAAGTTCTTACTGTTTGGGGATGAAGGAATAAAGTGAGACGCCGAAACCGTGCATTCCAGCCGCCAGGAAATGGAGCGAGGCTGTGAAGGGTGAGGGGGAAGGCGAAAACTGCAACTCCCAGCAGGCCGTGCGCGAAATCTGAAGTGGTGTAGGGACGGACAGGATGTAGTGAGGAAACGAGCGCAGGTCCGAGGGTTCCAGGATTTCCTGAGCGTGAACCAATAATAGGAGGAGACCGGGGGGGATGGGCGGAGCGACTGGGAACGGTTCCGACTCGGCTCTTTGTTCCCTCCCCCGCCCCGCCCCCTCTCTGGGCGGAGCGGGAGCTTTAAGAGGGGGCGTGGCCTCTGCTGAGGCTGGTGGATGTGGGAGTGGAGACGAGTGACGCGTCTCCTTCCTGCTCAGCGGCGCGTGAGGTGTCACGGCCGCGCTGGTGATTGGCTGCCGCGAGTGGCTTACGGAGCAGCCGTTGGTTGCGAGCAGCACGGAGCGAGGCTCGGGGTGGGCGGGGGGGATATGGGGCAGCGGCGGCGGCGGCGGCGGTGGCGGCAGCAGCGGCGTTGGCGGCTGCTGGAGGAGGCGGGCGCGAGTGAGCCGGCGACAGCAGCCGCGGCAGCCTCGGCAGCCTCGGCAGCAGCAGCCGCCTCCCGAGTCCCCCGGCCCTGAGCAGCCCCTCAGCCCGTGCCTGTCACTCCTCGGCAGAGGGCGGCGCGGGCGCAGCCCCCTCCCGTCTCTCCCCGCCGCTCGCAGCGTCGCCGCCCTCGGCACTCTCGGTCCCTTCCTCCTGCTCCTGCTCCTCTCCTGCTCCTGCTCCGACTCCGACTCCGGCTCCGGCTCCGGCTCCGGCTCCTCCATCTTGGCTCCGGCAGCCGTGGCTGCGGGGACGATGTGCCGCCTTCTGGCCGGGGGAAGAAGGAGGAGAAGATGAAGAAGTACCGGCGGGCCTTGGCCCTGGTTTCCTGCCTCTTCCTCTGCTCCCTGGTCTGGTGAGTCGCTCCGGCCTCAGCTTTCCGCCGGGCCGTCAGTCCCCCAGTCCCCGGACTTCGGGGTGCCCCCCAGAGTTCACTAAGAACTCGCAGCGGGTGCCTGGGTGCGGATATGCCGTGCTTGCATCTCCCAGTCCGGAGTGTTGGGGCGGGGGGAGGAGGGGGAAGGCCCTTGGGGAGCAGGAACTAGAAAGTGCCTTCAGCGTGGCACCGGGGTCTGAAGCAAGCTTGTGTGTGCCCGGAGTGCTGCCCGTAGAATGGCACACGCACGTTGCTGGAGCTCGACAGTCCCCCCGTGTTTTGATGGAGTTTGAAGGCCACTTCATAAAAGCATCCCCTCTTGAGCAAGTTTTTTTTTTTTTTTGCTTTGCGTTGTATCCCCAGCCCTCAGCACCATGCCTGGCACATAGCAGGCTCTTAATAAGTAGGTTCTGTAGACCTGACAACACTCCGGATGGGAGGTTTAAAGATCCGAACGTTACGGGTGTTCAATACGAGGCATCCGGCGAATGATAGGGTTTAGCGTGTTTTGGGGAATCTTGGGTTACTTTCTGGTGCCCTGAAGAGAGACTTTTGTTGTGATGTGAAGGGTTGGCGGTGATTGATGGTCTTTGCCCTAGTACCTAGAAGCTAAAGGGGTAGTATTCCTTTACGTTATTTTTTGTGGCTTTACGTTTTCAGGGACTGCATTTTGAGGGCTCGAAACATATTCAAGAATGTTTCTGGGTCCTGTTATTCATACTCCCCTTTTATGATGTATGTGTTTTGATCGGATAAGGTTGATAGGACCAAAGGAAGAAAACTTTCACTTTTAGTCAGCTAATCCAGTCCCCTCAGTTCACAATTGAGGAAACTGAGACTTTAGAACAAGGTCATTGTTGTTCCTCGTTTTTAGTCACGTCCAACTCTTAGTGACCCCGTTTGGAGTTTTCTTGCCAAAGATACTGGAGTGTTTTGCCGTTTCTTTTTCCTGCTCATTTTACAGATGAGGGAACTGAGGCAAACAGGGTTAAGTGACTTGTCCAGGGTCACACAGATTTGAACTCAGTGTTCCATCCAGTGCCACCACTAGTGACCCAGGGTCACATAGGTATTAAATGGCAGAGCTGGAATTTGAACCCAGCTGCTTTGACTCTATACCCCAGCTCTTTTTCCCCCATGTGACATTGTGCTTGAATACTCAGTTGGCCTATGATCTCATTCATTTTGGTATTTCTCCAACAGGTGAAGATCACAAAACCATGCCTTCTCCCTATATAGCATCATTGGAAATACTGGTGATAAAAGATGAAATGAGGATTTGCGTGGAGGATTATATTGCTACTTTTGAGGAAATTAGTTCTGCTGTTGTCTTTCTTCTCTTAAATTCCTGGCCCAACGTTTGCCTATTTGCAGTGTTTGTCCTACACATTTTCACTACTAGATTTCATTCAGTGGGCCGAGGGATCACAGGACATCCCAAAATGTAGGCAGTAGCAGTCATTCATCATCCACTTAGTTTTTCCTGTGCAGGTTGTTAGACTGATATCTTTAGAGTGGCTACAGATCTTATTGAAGAATGTTATGGTATGAACTGCTTTTGCTTTTATCTTTGTGTTGCCATTATCTAGCAATGCGTCTGACACATAATAGGTGTTTAATAATAAATAAATGCCTGTTGATTTCTGGGGTTTTATGCACAGCACTTTATTCAGATGTTCTTGGAAGTCTTGTTCTATGCTTTTATCCTTCCCCAAAGAATTCGAGAGAGAGAGAGAGAGAGAGAGAGAGAGAGAGAGAGAGAGAGAGAGAGAGAGAGAGAAAATGAATGAGAGAATGAGAATGAATGCAAGAGAGGGCTATCTCGGTGAATGTGGAAGATATTTCATAATATAAGACTCTCAATAATGTTAGGGTAAAAGTAACACTAGTTGGATTGTTATTTATAGAAATAAAAAGCTTAATACAGTTTCTGAAAGACTCATACATTTGTAAATTCCTAATATTATTTGGATTCTGAAGATATCGAAGACTGAAAAGGTAAAGCATAAAGAAAATTTTTTTGCTTGGGGGGAGTTTCAAATTTAGAAATGAAGCAAAGATTAGAGAGTTCTTTTACCTTCTACTCCAACCCTTCAGTTTTCTTTTGTTTTTTAAAGTTTTGGTTGTTCTGTACCTAGAAATGTATCTTTTTAGTTTTGATAGTTTTAGTTTTGACAGCTTCAAAAAAAAAGAAAAATAAAAGTTTGAATAGTGGAAGAAGTTATAACTAGAAGGTAAAATGTTTCCAAACCCCTTCTGACTTAAATTTATCATGCTATCATTATCATAGATAATCTAGGGTTGAATAAAATCTTAATTCTTGTCTTTTGCCATTATTAAAATTTATTTCTTAAGTACACAAAAATAGTGTATTATAGTGAGAAGAGAGCTAGCTTGCTAGATAGCAGAGGAAGGTTAGCCTGGTATCCAAGAGCTGACTGAGTTTTTCACTAGTGCAGTTATTCCTATTTCTGAAGTTTCCATTCAACTATAAAAGATGATAGGTTTGAATTAAAATTAAGTAAAGGCATAAGAAATTTATTGGCATAAGACACTGCTTGGTAGGTTTTGAGATTTTTGGTTTTTTGGATAGCCAAAATTGGAGATATATAAGCAATTTGACCATCCTTTGGTAGTAGCCTTACTAACAAGTTGCCTTATTTAGGCTTATGGAATCATTGAATAAAGGATTGTTCAGCTCATTATTAGTTTGCTCTTGTTTGTTCTCCAATGGCTCTTTGGTTTTTTGGGAGAGGAAAGGAAATACAGAGAGACTATAAGAAAAAAGAGAGCAAAATGTTCCAAAACAACAAAATTGTCATTCCCAATGAGACTCATGGTTCTGGGATCAAGTTGTCAATGAAGTGTCCAAAGAACTAGTCATTGGTGGACCTTGTACTTTCTGATGACAACTTTATAGGTATGTTATAGTTGTTTCTCTTAGTAAATTGTGTTCTTGTTTTTTTTTTCCTATCTATATCACTTCTTTAGAAAGTGAATATTTACATAAATTTTGAAACATATTACCCACTGGGTGAAGTCATAGAACTTTTCCTTTGCCCTAAACCTAACTTTACATATAGTTTGCTGGAACAGTCTATGTTCTTTGCTTATGCACGTCGTAATCTTGTTGATTTTGATTGTTTCCTCTCAGAGGAATAGATGTTAGAGAGGACCTTCAAGACCATCTAGTCCAGCCCTTTTTATTTTGTGAATGAGGTCTAGAGTTTGTCACTTACACACAGTTGTTCCTGCAGCCCGAAGAGCCATGTTTCTGCGATGTCTTTGTAGGGGTAACCTTTTCTTACCATCTTTCTAGTTTCCTTTGCATTGCATCCAGGCTGTATAAAATATTCTAATTGATATGCCTAAGTTTTGTATAAACCTGGCTTTCTTGGAGAGGCAGCAGGATAGAGTGGTACTGGATTTGGTATCTGAAGACTTGGATTTTGGATCCAGCTTTGACATTTATTAAATTGTGTTATTATAGGAAAATTACTTATTTTACTACCTATCTCATTGTTAGGAAAGAGTTTTGTAAACCCAAAAGGCATTATATGTAAATGTGAACTGTTATGATAATCTTTAACTCCCCCCCAACACTTTTTTTTCTCTTATAGAAGAATATTAGGCCAGTTTCCTGCAGTGATTCAAAGTTTCCTAGGACTTGACTGGATTACACTCAGAATTTTCTGTGTGTGTTTGTTTATGTGTTTGTGAGTCAGTCAGTACACACTTTTAAAATTGATAAGTATCATCTAGTGTCGTAGGATCATAAGATTTAGATTGGAAAGGCTATTTGAGATCATTATAAGCCAGTCTCTTCATTTTACTATTAGGGAAACTAAGGCCCAGATAGGGGAAAATACTTGAGAATCATTCAGGTAGTTACTCATACTCAACATACTAACACAAGTCTTCTGATTCCAAATCTGTGTTCTTTTCATTACAACTCAAAAATCCATCTGTTACCTTTCAGTTTGTACAAATTTTTAAAAGAACTTTGTTTTTTCTTTTCATGTCACCTTGACATGTCAGAATTTTAGTTACTTTTTCTTTGCAATTTTTTTTTTCTTTTGCTTTTTGGTGAGGCAGTCAGGGTTAAGTGACTTGCCCAGGGTCACACAGCTAGTGTCATGGGTCTGGTCCGAGGTCAAATTTGAACTTGGGTCCTCCTGATTCCAAGGCAGGAGCTCAAATATTTTTATGAAGATGCTAAGTAAAGAGATATGGGCTGGACCCATGATTTCATTACCAATGCTTTCTCTGCAATTTATAGTCTTAACAAATTGCCTAGAGTCCCAAAAGGCTAAATGATACCCTTTTGTAGATCCAATATATGTCAAAGGTTGGACTTGAACCCCAGGTCTTCTGGTTTTGAGGCTAGCTGTCTCTTACCATACTGATAATAATACCCAAATCTTGTGCTTCTTTGAAAATCTTCATTTTTGTCCTTTGATTTTTGTCTTTTAAGTCAGTTAGTTGGCTATTGAGCACAATATCTATATAACCTGCAATCTCATGGTGATTCTGGTTTTTTTTTATGTACTTGGTTAGGCTTTTTGAAAAGCCTAAATTGATTATATCCCTAAATTTCAATTATTTGCATATTTCCCATCTTTGGGACCTCTAATAAACTAATCAGACATCAAGATGTGAAATCATAGGGAAAAATGACTAGAAAATTAAAGCAAAAAAAAAATCTAATTTTTTTCCTGAATTTTTCTTGGTTTAAAAAGAAAACAACCCATGTAATTGTGTGACTACGATGCCAAAAATAAGAGTGATATTGAACATTTTTTAAAAAAAATGCACCAAAGAGGACAAAAGAAAGATCAGATGGAAGCA